AAAGAAGTTGAAGGGCTTCACAAAGTCCTTAGAGAATTGTTCTACAAGGTTAGCTTTGGGGAAACAAAGTCCGCCGGAAGGTGGGGGGAGGGCAGGTCATGAGCACCTTCAGCCCCTTGGCGGCCCCTTGGTCCTGACCTTCAAGAGGCAGCTATTGTGTTGGTAGCTAACTTTTACTAAGCAGCACATTCTAGGCACCAGTATGAAAGTGCTTTTCTTTTTCTTTTCTTTTATTTTTTGAGACAGAGTCTAGCTTTGTCAGCTAGATAGAGTGCAGTAGTGTCATAGCTCACAGTAACCACAAACTCTTGAGCTCGAGTGATCCTCCTGCCTCCCAAGTAGATGGGACTACAGGTGCCTCCCACAATGCCCAGCTAATTTTTCTATTTTTAGTAAAGGCAAGGTATCGCTCTTGTTCAGGCTGGTCTGGAACTCCTGAGTTCAAGCGATACTCCCACCTCAGCCCCCCAGAGTGAAAATGCTTTATGTGTAGTGCCCGTAAGGTGTTCCCAACCCTCAGAAGCAGATTGTACCACTGCCATTTTAGAAGTAGGCTCTGAGAGGCTGCACCTTATCCAGGGTCACACAGCCATTCAGTAGACAGAGCCAGGACACAATCTACTGCTCCCTCACTCCAAATCTCCTCTTCCACTGGGCTGTTTCAAGCCTTGTGAGGCATGAATGGTGGGATCCTGCAGCTAGTCTGAGACCAGCCTGGAACATCTGCCTCAGGTCTCTGGCCTTTCTCCCCCAGGTTCTGAAGCTGCTGCTTGTGGCCTGGGATCGCCGCCTCATCTTTGCCATCGGTACCTCCAGCACCACAGGCGAGTCTGACACCGTCATCTGGAATGAGGTCCACCACAAGACGGAGTTTGGCTCCAATCTCACTGGTCATGGCTATCCAGATGCCAACTACCTAGATAACGTACTGGCTGAACTGGCTGCCCAGGGCATCTCTGAGGACAGCACTGCCCAGGAGAAGGCCTGAGGCTGGAGGGGCTTTGAGGTGGGAGGGGCCATGGGGACCACAGGATGGAAAGTAGGATGTCAAGATAGAAGTTTGTGCCTTGAGGTCCAGACTCCCGCACCTCCCCTGCTGCCCTGTCTCCATGCCCCTCCCTCCCAGCCCCAGGGGGAGTCAGATTGAATAAGGGGACATCATTCATAAACCTCATCCAACACGAAGGGGCCATCCTGGGTCTGTCCCTGTGGAGTTTTCGGTGCTGGGCAGACAGGTACCCCCTCCCTGCCCCACTTCCCAGATGGGGGGGGCCCATCCATGTGCAGGGGATGGCCAGTGCTGGGGCACTCCATACTCTGGCCTTGTGAAACCCAGGTTGCTTGTCTCAGCTGGCTTCTGCCGCTTCTCCTCTGTTTCCAGAGTGGAGTTTCCACTCTCCTCTCCTCTGCTGGAGGCAGGGAGCTCTCACTGTGCAAGGTTGGGGGTAAAGGGGTGAACCGCTCAACTTCTGTGACATGAGACACTGGATGCCCTGGTGTGGAGGGAGGAATCACTTCTCGCCATGAGGGCCAGAGAGGCAAAGGGAGCATGCCCAGCTCTTGTCATTGCCCTTGGCTTCTCCAGGTCCTCCCTGCCTCCTCACACCTTCGACCTATCCAGAGAGGCATCTGGTTCTCTCATGTCGGGGGACAGACTCTGGGACTCCTTTCTGGGGTAGCATCCTGGGATGCTCTTTGTAGCCCCTCTCTGATCAAACCAGAGCCTGCATCCCACTGAGCCTCTGAACTGTCCTCAGGGAGAGGGGGCCACAGCCTTCTTCCCAACTCAGCCTAGACCAGCTCAGAGATTCCGTGAGTTGCATCAAGTCACTGTGAGCAGAGCCCAAGCTGGGCTCTGTGCCGTCTGTGTCTGTGCGTGCGGGCATCGCTGGGCCAGGTTGGCAGAGAGGCTGACCCTGTCCCTGCACTCTCTTTTGCAAAATGCCAAACCTTGGATTTGATGGATCAAATGGCCAGATTGCAGTGGTCCTTGGCTTTCCTTACCCTTAGCCAACCCAACCCCATCCGGTAGGAAACTTAGACCCTGATAGAGACAGAACTGTGCCTGGGGAGATGTGAGGAGGGGAGCGCTGAATTGGCCCCTTTTTATATTTCTTTTCAAGGTTGTAGCAGAGCCAATCTCCATCCAGTTCTTGTTTCTGTGAGGGCTCCTAACTGTCTCCATGCCCAGAGGTGACACTGGGCCTCTCATGCCCCTCATCTGTCACAAACTCACTCAGAGCCCAGAGGGAACCTCTGTAGCTCATTCCTAATGGGGTCAGGGCCACACTGTGGTCTGGACCAACCTGCATCTGGGTCGTGTCCCCAGACCCTGTCTATCTCCTCCGCAGTGTTCCTCCTGCTCCCTTTTAGGAATGAATTGGGAGTCAGGGAGGAGACGAGGGGGGATCAAGAAGGGAAACCCAAATCCCCCTTTGAAAGTGGGTTCTTTGAACTATGTGTTTGGGGGACGTTCCTCTGGATACTAATTTGAATTTATATACCTCATGTTTTGGGGGTTTGACGTATATATATGCATATATATTTCATTCTACTTGGAAGGTTTTTGATGCCAGAAAAATCAAAACAAAAAAACCTTCAAAAACGGTACTTAGGTTAGACCCAGAGGCCAGGCTTTCAGAAAAGCCAGGTCCGTAGCTGCCCTCCTTGCTGTTGGGCCTACAGACATTTTGATGTTGGTGTGGTGGGTGGATCCACCTGAGTGTCACCCAGTTTCTTCCGACCTGCTGGTGCTGAGTCTTCCCTGGCTTTCCAAATGGCTACAGGGACGTTAGTCTTCCCCATGAAAGAGAGCTCTGATTTGAGGAATGTTTCTGCCCCCAAGTCCCTGCCGAGAGCTGTTGTATCTCACCAGCAGACCAGGAGACTGGTCCTGAGCTCGCTGCACCACAGGGAAATTTCCTGCCACAGTTGGGAAGGAAACACCTGAACTTAATGGAAGAGACATCCCTGCACGTGCTCTTGGCCAAGTCACCACATCCCAGAGGTCACTGGAGAGCCTCACTGCAGGCTTAGCACTATCTCCACTCTTAGCGCCCTCACCAAGTACCCTCCGGGCTTCTCTGCCACAGGGGACGGAGCGTCCACGTGTGGGTAGAAAAACAAGAGGCAGTAGGGGGTGGGGAAGAAAAGACATCAGTGTACCCGGACAGCAGGGAGAGATTGGTTTCCCTGCAGCAGGTGGGGCAGGGGACACCCAAGAACAGAAGGAGGGGGGCCGAGGACTAGGAGGGAGCAGTAGACAGTGGCAATACCACTCGCATTGGTGGTCTTCATCCCTTCGCGTCCTTCCCCTTAGGGTTTTGGTGATGTCTTTGCCTCATTTCTCTTCTACTTCGTTCTGTAGGGGCTATCTCATCCTGTGCCAGTCTTCTCGTGGGACTCTGGGCAGAAGGGATCTTGAATTTCCTTTCAACACTGTGCGAGGCAAGGCAGGGGACATTCCTTTGCCCCTTCTCTTGTGCCAACCCTGCCAGCACAGCCCTGTGCCCCCATCACTTCATCACAGGGCATTTTCCCACCAAGAAGACCTTGGTCCCTCTGGCCCAGGGAGGGGTGGTCCCCTGTCTTCTTTTCCATGGTCTTAACACCAGCAGCCTAGTTTTTCCCTTCTTGAGTCTCCAAGGATGACAGATGGGATCGGAGACGAACCTTGTCAGATGCTCACCCCTTAAGGGTTAATTGTGTACATGTGGTTGCGGTGCCTTTGTGCTTTCATCTCTTCCCTTTTTTTGTAAAATTTGAACTTCTCTGTGGTTTTATATTTGGTCAAAAGTACTTGTCCTGGTATTGCACTGTTGTGTACATGAGAGATTGGGGGGAAGGACCGTGTGGTACTAGAAAAGACCCCTGCCCCCTTTCCTTGTCTGTGGTCGCTGGCATTTGAGTGGGGATGGGGGGGGGGGTTCTGGGGAAAGGCAGGTGAAAGTCCTGTGGTAAAATTGTTCTGTTTGTAACTGGTGTATTTCCAAGTCCTTGGTGTTGCTCTGTGGGAGGACATCGCCACCTGGTGCTCATGAGGTGTATGTGCAGAACAATAAATGGCAAGTGAACAACCACAAATTGTTGATGTTACTGACCTTCTGCTTTTTGTAGGTAGGGCACCTGTGTGTGAGGCGTTTGGGTTACTTCCCCAAGCCTGTAAGCAACCACAAGCCCTTCCAATGGATGGAGGGAAAGGCCTCCTTCTCGGGTTTTTTTTAAAATGTGTTTGTGTGTGTTTTAAATTTTCACATCTTTTCCACCCACACATTTGACCTGGTTGGACCCTTTGTTCCCCTAAAGGAACAGACCAGATGGCTGGGGAAATGAGTAAGTAAACTTGTGGGAGAAAAACCATCTTCAAAATCACGAATGTTCATTTCTTACAGATCCCTTCACCTGACAGCCATGCAGTGTACATTTCAATCATTCACAGGCTGTTGTTTTTCAAATAAATATTTATTATTAATCATCCCAATACTGATGAGAACACAAAAGTGAGATGCAAATGCAGAGCCACCTTTGTCGCCCGTCTCTATCTCTACTTCTGGTAGTCCAAGGAACATGGTTTTCTTGGAAGTCAGGATCATTTTGTCCATAGACCCCAGCCTAAGATCACTAATTAAGAAAGCAGGACTCGGGAAGCAGAGCTTGTGAGCGCCTCCATCAGGGTTCTGACCTTGTGCCATGCCTGTGTGAATGCAACCTGCCAACTCCACGTTTTGACTGCGTGTGGACAAGCGCTCAGATGAGCGTGCCTTTGGAGAAATTTTAATACACATTATGCACAGTCTTGTTAGTAGAAATAATAAGTTTGTAAAGAACTTTTGATTTCTCTGAGTAGTTAGTGCATGAAAAACCCAGGAAACCTTTGGCTACACTTCACCTTTCTGACTCACTAATCTTCAAAGAATTAATAGGAAAGTCGGTATTTGCAGCAAAGTAGTCAGCTTGATTAAAATATATGAAACACTCAAAATCCACAAAACACTCAAAGGTTGAGGAGAACATTTTAATGCTTAAGAGACAGGTTAAATGAAAAGGTTATAGAAATTAATGTCCCTGGGTGGGCAGTCAGGAGAACAGGGCACAAATTCTGTTATTCACTTCTCTCTCTCAGTTGGAAACAGATGACTAGCCGCGTCCCTCTCTTCACACAGGCTAGGATGCATCAGGCTCCTTAAATGAAGGGCCTATTCTCAGTGAAAAGTCTTGATTGTGAACATTAACAAGGAAAGAACAAATTATCCTTCATAGGATAATGTTGAGATAATTAAGACTGGCATTAAAATTAAACAAAGTTCCAAATATTACTAGCTGACAACCATATATCCTGCTACATACCCCAAGGTTTTTGGCCCAGGACTGAAATCAATGTGGCACAGGTGGTGCTGAATGATGCCTTTTTCAGTTTATTGAAAAACATGCATTTGATCGTGTCAGCCCCCTTTCTGATGGGAGAAAAAAGCACATGCATAACCGGTGCTCCTGCTCCGTTTTGATTTTCAGAAGAAGTAACACGGAGATGTGGGCTTGCTTTGACTTCTTACTTTTTTCACCCGCAGGATGGTGCAGACTTCTTGGAATGCAGTGTCTATGTTTGTGTGTGTGTGTTTGTGCACTTATGTGTGTGTGTCACGGAAGGATAGAATGCATAGGGACTGTCTATGGAAGAGGAAAGCATTGTGCTTTGGCAACACAGAACATAAAACCGTAACGCTTGGTCTATCCAAATCTACAGCTCCTTTTGGTGTCCAATTTATGGGGAGCTAACGGAAAGAAATCAATTACTTGGTTGGGGGTAAGAATTTCAATTTCCCTTGAGCATCAGACTCTCTTTCCCAGTTTGTACCTTGGTTAACTTACCCTTTGTCTCCAAACCATCCCTTCCCCCGTGCCCTTAACAGAAGTTTGTAAGTTAAAATACTTTCCGAGGGCTTGTTGACACTGGTCAGAAGTCTAGGAGCATCTGACCCAAGCCTTTATCATAGAGCACTGGGAAAAATGAGATTGGCACAGGCAACATCTTTCTTTTCAGGTGCTATTGAGATTACCCAGAGAAGATTCCACAGAGAAGGTGACACAGATGGTCGATATGCAGACCACAGAGCTAAAAAGCAGTGGCCAAGCAGGACTTCCTGTGCCTTTTCAGGGCTCTGCCAGCCTCTAGGACCATGAAAGCTTTTTAAAAAATAAAATAGAGAGAAGGGCATGCTTAAAGGCAGGAATTCTTATGAGTGACAAATCACTGTGGACTTTAGATCAAATGCCTAGTTTCCAAATGTCAATACCTCTCTCCTCTCTTTGTATGCAAGAGCATTTAAGTGAGGACAATTAGTGACACAGGAAGAGAAAGGATTCCCCACCCCCCCATTTAGTCCCCAGGATGGCTTTTGCTTTCAAGAATCACAAGTGCTCCCTCTCTCCACCCCAGCCCTGTCCACATATCGATAGGGATTTTCTAGCCCAGAGAATGAGACATGAAATCACAAAGTTACACCTGCTATTTGTTACACTTCGTACTTAGGAAGACAAAAGTGGTCGGAGATGACCGCTCTGGCTAGAGATGAAACAATTTCCCAGGAAGAATTTAAGCTGGACTCTCTCCCTGCTTCTCCTTAGGTGTCTCTCTGGCTGCCTCTGGGTCTAGAGCCAAACTCTGCTTCCCGTCCCCAATTTCCATGTATCCCCTCTTCTTGAACTTCCATGAGCCATAGATGGCCAGGACAATGACAGTGGCCAGAATGGCAATGACCCCCACTGTCACCCCAGCTGCCTCTCCTCCTGACAAGCTCCCATGGCCCCCCTGGTGGCCCTTCATGACCTCACGCAGCTCCGACAGCTGTCCCTGCCTCCACTTGTGGGTCTGCGGGTCTTTGACCCAGAGTGTTGCATCCTCAGAATTAGTCAGTAGGATAGTGCTGGTGGAAGCATTGCTCGTGAGGGATGAATGTGTATAAGGCGGGAGCCTGGCAGGGTGCAGGGACCCTCCTGTAAAGAGCCCAGCTTTGACACAGTAGTACACTGGACATCCATCACTGATGAGGGCCACGTGTTGGCTGAAGCCCTGGGGGCACCCTTTTCGAGAAGGTGTCTCTAAATCTCTGGATGTGTTAGAATCTGTCAAGGGATTCCCAACTGTGCAGCTGAAGAACCCACCAAAGGGCACCAAGAACCTGTTTCCCAACTCAAAGTCCAGAGAAACACATACCTGGAGGGTTTCAAAGAGTCTCAGGGAAATGTAGCCAGCTGGGCATGACTGTGCATTTGTTGTGGGGTTTACACTCTTACTGCTGAAGAGACCCCCAAAAAGTAGTCCTGAGTTTTCTGATACTTGGCCATTGGCCACACACCAAAAAGCTCTAAAGTCAGCCTTTGCCACATCAAACCGATTTTCACAATTTTCATGGCAGAAGATCCATAATGTACAGTGCTTTTGACACTGCTGGTGGTTGTAGGTCTCCTCGTGGGTCTGGGACAGCAGGCGCACTGAGGAATAGCCTGAGGGGCAGGAGAAATCGCCAGTGAGTGGATTCTTCTGCTCCAACTTTTGGCAGAGGGAGACAGCATCATTCCCCGAGAGCTGGGTGCACTCCTGATAAATCCCACCAAAGGAGAAGTTGGTCATTTGCCCCTCACAGGAGCCATCATCCACATTGGCCTGAAAATTGAAGTTGGGCGAACTGCGATCTGTGCAGCCAGGGTAGGTGTTGAAGGCGTAGTAGCGTCCCACAGCAGCTTCCACCGTCTTGTACAGCTTCCTCACTAAGGGCCCCGGCATGTCAGGCAGCATGTTGGGGGTGATGAAGAAATGCAGTGGCAGGCCAGCACGGTCCACGGCCACCAGATTGTCAAAGATGCTGTGCTGCCAGGCCTGGAGGGTGATGCCAGGGTAAAAAGGAACCCCTCCAATGCTCTGCACCCTGGAGTTGGTTCGGTTTGACAGGTAGCTCTTGGTTAAGGCACTCTGAAAGGTGTAATTGTTCTCAATTTTGAAGTTTATGATGTTACGAAAGGCAATTCCAGCAGCTGTGGTCACAGAACTACGGCTGCCCTCATTGTCCTGGAGGAAGGAGGCCTTGATGTGGTCCTCCTGAACAAGAGTGGCCCCAGCGTCCACACTAGTGATGACATGGGTGCCATAATTGAGGACCAGAAGTTCTGCCAGGTAGGCAGCCATACGCGTCTGGCTCTTCTCTAGATGTTCAGAGATACTCAAGAGCGCCTTCTTAAACTCCCAGCTCAGTTCTGAAGCTGGGTTGATTTTGGCTGTGTAGACCAGGTTTCTTACCTGAACTCGTGTAGTTATAGCGTGGTCCTTCACTTGAAGGGTCTTCATCCTCTGGAACTCAGTGGAGAATTTGCCATTCACTGTGGAGAATACGGAGAATTCTGTGTTGATGGAGTAGGAGGTGCTGCTCAGGTAGTTTACCCAAGAATCCAGGATTTCTGAGTTCATCTCCAGGTTGCTCTGTTTCTGGGGAATGATGTAGATTTCATCTGGGATGATGTACTGCCCATCCTCTGTGGTCCTGCAGTTGGTGTAGGTCAAGTTCATCACCGGTCCCATATCCACATTCCGCAGATTATCCCAGCCACCTCCAGGTAAGACTTCCAGGACGGGTAGTTTCAAGGCATTCTTGCATTTTTGAAGTCCAGTCTCCTCTGTCCCTCCCAGAGGTCCGGCTGCTTCAGTCCACACTACCACAGCCCAGAAGAGGACAGCAGTCCCGAAGCTGGTCATGGTTATGGCAGGCCCCATGACACCCCGTCCCTGTAGTTATACCAGTGGCTGGTGAGCCTGGTGCAAACTCAACAGATTGAGAAAGAAAGCAGTTGCTGAAATGTAGCAGTTCTCCCAAAGCTATCAGTTCCTTTTTAGGCTAATCTCATTGTGAAATAGAGAAACGAAAGTCACTTGGAATACTGAGGGCCAATAGGACCTTGGAAAAACTTTGCTGCGCTAGATGTGCAAACCCAGCCCGTTATGCTTGACTACCCTGACTTTCCCCCATCTGCATCTGCTCACTTTGAAGCTCTCAGAAAAAGTGAGACCCTGCACCTCACATCCTCCAGTAGAAAGTTTGGGGTTTCTGTCTTTTTCCCCTCTCTTGGACGTGACATGATGTTTTACATTTTCACCAACTGCTCTCTTTTAAAACTCCAGCATCAGTTTCCTTTCAGCGGCCATGCAGAGGTAAATGGCAACACCACCCTTTCTGAGACACCCGGCCTCTGCCACAGCCACACTGGCAGCCTCTGGGTTCCTCATCTATCTGGGTGGCAGAGGCTGTTCCCACAGAAGGAGTCAAAACCATGGTCACACATAGGGCTTCCTTGTAATAAGCCCCAGAAGCCTTTGGAGATGGAATGTTCTGGTGTGGAACTGAAGGGGCATGAAGAGGATTCAGCTGGCTGTACGTGAAAGGCGAGGAACCTCAGTCTGCATTGTCCTAAGCATTCAGAGTGAGGTGAGGGGGCCCCCCACACTGTGCTATTATTTCCTTTCAGATAAAAATGTTCAAGCAAGGAAAAATTCCACACTCTAATCTAGATTTTTGGTTTATCAACAGCAGGACCGTGGCCAAGGAATATAGTGATATGTATACGTGTGTGTATAGTATGCCCTCTCTGGGTGTGCATTTTGCAGTAACTTTATACCTGCTGCTGCATCTTTGTCATTCCATTGCTAGGGGCACGGAATCAGCATAGGTGCTTAAGAAAAAGAACATGGTTCTTCATTCCTCAATGTTTTTAAAAGAGTAACAATTGGGGGCCTGGCTCAGTGATCACGGCACACATGTGATCACGGCACTCTGGGAGGCCAAGGGGGCGAGAATGCTTGAGCTCAGGTGTGCTAGACCAGCTTGAGCAAGAGCAATACCCGGCTTTTCTGAAAATAGGAAAATGAGCTGGGTGTTGTGGCTGGTGCCTTGGGAGGATGAGGCAGGAAGATCGCCTGAGCTCAGGAGTTTGCATTTGCTGTGAGTTACGCTGATGCCACAGCACTCTAGCGTGGGTGACAAAATAAGATGCTGTCTCAAAAAAAAAAAAAAAAAAAAGCAGCAATCCATTTGTTATCTCATTGGGAGAACATAGTTTTATGAATTTCCTTCACACGTGGATGCCAGCTGTATTAGATCCCATGATCTAGAGTACTGTGTCCAGGTCCTTTGATGGATTATCTATATCAGGATTGATTGGAAGCCAAGCTCTGTGACTTCTTTGAGTTATTAGTAAATTTACTGGGAGCCAGGGAATCCAGAGGAGTTAATGAAGTTCCCAATTGTACCCTCATGCCTCCCCAAGTTTTGCCATGAGCCCGAGGCAGTGCTGAGACTACAGGGTGATGTTTCAATTGGCAGATAGCACTACGCTGTCACCTGTTTACGTCCTGGAAAGAAGGTTCCAAGAAACTGAATTACATCAGCTTGCCATTGGTTCAGCTGGGAAGTGTTTTTTAGAAAGAATAAAGTCAGTTTCCTAGCTTCCCTGGCTGAGCTTCACTTACAATTATGGGATGGTGTTCTTAAGTGCAGAAATATCACATCCTGGGTCTGTTCATGCCACAATTTTATGCTTTGGGGAAGTGACACCATCCACCAAAAGGGATTAATTTATGAACCAGTGTCCAATCTATATCTGGCTAGAGAGCCAAACCTTTGCACAGAATGTTCTGCATAATTTATAAATCAGTTAGTTATAAATTTATATCTTAGAAAAGTGATCCCAAAATTAGAAAAATTAGAGTTGAATGTCCTTGAGTACTTCCAATAAGCCCGTTGAAGTATCTGCACATTGCTCTTCAGACTAGTTCAGGGATGATTGGTAAGAGAATCCTCTCTCATTTGCATTGCTTTGGAAACATGCTGACAGTTTCTTACTCTATTTTTGCTCTACAGAGACCACACTGTTGAGACCTCTCCCTTTTTTTTTTAATTTTCATTTCTTTTCTTTTTTTTTTTTTATTAAATCATAGATGTGTACATTAACACAATCATAGGGTACAATGTGCTGGTTTTACATACAATTTGAAATGGTTTCATCAAACTGGTCAACATAGCCTTCATGGCATTTTCTTAGTTATTGTGTTAAGACATTTATATTCTACACCTAGTAAATTTCATCTCCCTCTACCCATCCCCCCTCCCCTTCCATCCCTCTCCCCTTTCCCTTTCTCCTTGGGCTATATTGGGTTATAGCTTTCATAAGAAAGCTATAAATTGGCTCGGTGCCTGTGGCTCATGTGCCTAGGGCGTCAGCCACATACACCTAAAGTGGTGGGTTCGAATCCAGCCCAGGCCTGCCAAGCAACAATGATGGCTGCAACCAAAAAA